CCTCCTCCCTGGCCGGCAGGGAGGGAGAGAGAGGAGCTGCTTCCTTTGAAAGCCGGGAAATTTAAGGGACATCATCAATAAGGGACAGCAGTGGGACACGGTGCTGGGATAAGGGACTGTCCTGCCAAATAAGGGACACTTGACAGCTATGGATTACATCATGCTGAGAATTATTCTGGCCTGCATTCATATCCTGGCTCGAACCTCCTGCAGTTCTGCCTTCCAGCCACAGTGCTGTTGTTTCAGGGAGTCAGGAATCCGTTCATGACCTGCGCTGTTCCTGGTTCAAGACCCGTGCGTGACAGCTAGAAGAGAAATGTTCATCCAGGACAAGGCAGCTAAGCTAAAGTAAATGGGTGAACATAATGTCTTGGCTCATGTGTTTAAAACAAACCCCTTGAGGACACTGTGTTCTTGCAAGTCAGATATCTAAATACAAACTGGAGTCAGCTGCCATACAAGCAAAAAATGTATTAGCCTCCCTCCTCATAGGTCATTGCAAATCCTCTTTGGTCACCGTCGCGCTGCACATCTGTTTTAGTGAGATGCAGTTCCTTAAGGTGGCATTTGGAACTTCATAAGCGCACAAACAACCCAGCTATAAATTGCTGCTGCTGGAGTTATTTTGAATAAGAGTATACTGTTTCATATTTATAATGGCGAAGCTTCATAATATTCACAGTGAATATATAACACAGATCAGTTCAACAAGCATGAAATTGTATGTTGTCAGGTTGTCACATAAATAGAGCCATATTCCATGTTACAATAATATTGGACTAAATATTTTCTTCTCCTTAGAAACTGTACAGAGAGCCATGTAAAGGGAGAGAGGAGCAAGCTGCCGCCTTTTCCTCAAGATTAATGCTATTTTAAAAGAAATAATTCCTGGTTGTTTTTAAAAAAGGATTCCCTCCCCCAGCCCATTTGTAGGGGAGAAAATATTTACTTAGACAAATGCTAATTGGTTAAAACGCCTACTTTTTTCACTCCCTAATGCTTCATTTCCGAAGTATCCATTTTTAAGAATTGTTTCCATTTTTGAATTTCACATTGGTACTAATTGCTAATAAATGCTGCAACTTAACCCAGGCACGCGGTCTCCCTCCTGACCCATCCCACTTAGTACTAATTTATGGCAATGCCATTATGGAATGATAAAAGATCAGAGCCAAGTCTAATTTAACGCTCCCCGCCACTCTTGTTTTGCTTGCATATTGTGTATGGTGGTATGTATCAGGAAAAAGTAATGTTGCTTATACGCAAAACAAAATCCACAGTAAGTGCTCCATACTCATTGAGTTTTGTGCTGTGGTTAAAATGTCAGGTCAGAGCCAGAGAGTCGCAGCTTCAACTCTCAGCCCAACCATGATGTGTTACTTGACAAAAGGTCAAATGTGGAGGAGAACCATACTGCCTTGTTCTTCTTGGATGAAGAACTGATTTATAAATATCACAAGTCCGTCTAGTACCTGGATAGCTCAGTTGGTTAGAACACGGTGCTAATAGTGCCAAGGCTGCAGGTTTGATCCCTGTATGAGACAGCTGCCTATTATTGCATTTCAAGGGGTTGGACCTAGAAGATACTCAGGGTCTCTTCCAGCTCCATGATTCTGAAATTCCCATTCAGGTAAAAACTGAAATTGCCATCAAGCAATGCTATCCACAAATTATACCGCCCGTGCTCTCCAGAATGCCACATGATCAAAACTATGACTGTGCCACAGTCAAAGTAGGATATACCGTATTTTTTGCTCTATAAGACTCACTTTTTCCCTCCTAAAAAGTAAGGGGAAATGTGTGTGCATCTTATGGAGCGAATGCAGGCTGTGCAGCTATCCCAGAAGCCAGAACAGTAAGAGGGATCGCTGCTTTCGCTGTGCAGTGATCCCTCTTGTTGTTCTGGCTTCTGAGATTCAGAATATTTTTTTTCTTGTTTTCTTTCTCCAAAAACTAGGTGCTTCTTATGGTCTGGTGCGTCTTATAGAGCGAAAAATACGGCACTTTTTAAAAAGATGTGCGAAGTGACATAGCCCAAGTCAAGCTGCACATGCCGAATATGGCCAAGGAATTAACCCAGCTGCTATCTTTCATCCTATGCAGTGGAAGGAGAATGCAAGAAAGGGTCAGGACCTTTCAGAACAGGAGCAGTAATAGCCTTTGCACATGGTAGTTGACATCCCCTTGCTGGAGCGAGTGGATGAGATGACAAGTGTGTTTGTGAAAAATTAGCATAAAGAAAAACTGAGAATGAGGGAAATCATCGAGCAGAGGCTGGATACATTTTTCCTTTTCTTAAATGGAGTTCCTACTTCATGCTAGCAGTTTAAACAGTTAAACTTCTTTGCAAGATCATTTGCATTACTCATGGAAAGCTCAAAGTTGCCTTTTGTCTCACTGAAGATCTTGTGTTAAAGCTCAATGTCTTTTCCAAGTTGAATCTATGTGTCAGGGAACTGACATCGGAGCTAGAGGCGGAGGGAAGGCTCTCAAATGATGCTGGAGAAGGGCCCAGCAGGGAGAGAGGCAGCTCCGCAGATGGGGAAGCAATTCAGTGCAACACCAGGGATAAGGAGGGGCTGATGGGGGAATCGGCGAGAGGGCTCCAGGACTCTTCACCGGACACCAGCGGGGAGAGCACGGGTCCCCCGCTACCCATGCCCACCCTGCGCAGAAGACTTCCGCGCAGAGAGAGTAGGAGGAGACTGGGTGTCAAACAACTTTTATGTTGGAAAAGATTTAAGAAACGCCCACTGACGGATTCTGCTAGCGACTGAGGCAGCCACGAAGTGAAGGGCTGCCCAGACTGAAAGGTTTAACAAGGCAACATAGCCAGGAGAGGCGGCAACTTACGCACGAGCAACCCCATACACATCACACTATGTGTTCAAAAGAAAGTACTACTGAGTTCAGTGGAGCTTGCTACCAAAAAACTATGCCTAGGATTGCAGTTATGCTAATCCTAATAACTGGATAGTCTTCTATTGTACTGCTGTTCTTTAGTATGCATGTATAATTCCAAGCCGGAATTAAGATTGCCAGAAGAAATATCAACAACCTCAGATATGCAGATGACACAACCTTGATGGCAGAAAGTGAGGAGAAATTAAAGAACCTTTTAATGAGGGTGAAAGAGGAGAGCACAAAATATGATCTGAAGCTCAACATCAAAAAAACCTAAAATCATGGCCACTGGGCCCATCACCTCCTGGCAAATAGAAGGCGAAGAAATGGAGGCAGTGAGAGATTTTACTTTCTTGGGCTCCATGATCACTGCAGAAGGTGATAGCAGTCATGAAATTAAGACGCCTGCTTCTTGGGAGAAAAGCAATGACAAACCTAGACAGCATCTTAAAAAGCAGAGACATCACCTTGCCAACAAAGGTCCGTATAGTTAAAGCTATGGTTTTCCCAGTAGTGATGTATGGAAGTGAGAGCTGGACCATAAAGAAGGCTGATCACCGAAGAATTGATGCTTTTGAATTATGGTGCTGGAGGAGACGCTTCACCATGGACTGCAAGAAGACCAAACCTATCCATTCGGAAGGAAATCAGCCCTGAGTCCTGACTGGAAGGACAGATCCTGAAGCTGAGGCTCCAATACTTTGGCCACCTCATGAGAAAAAAAAGACTCCCTGGAAAAGACCCTGATGTTGGGAAAGATGGAGGGCACAAGGAGAAGGGGACGACAGAGGACGAGATGATTGGACAGTGTTCTTGAAGCGACTAATATGAGTTTGACCAAACTGTGGGAGGCAGTGGAAGACAGAAGTGCCTGGCATGCTCTGGTCCATGGGGTCACGAAGAGTCGGACACGACTAAACGACTAAACAACAACAACAACAACAACAACAACAACAAGAGAAATATATAATGGGTCACTGCTACTGCCCGCATTTTCCTTCAGGTTTTGGCTATGGGAGCTGTAACGATCAGCCCCTCACTTCAAGATTTGCCACAACACCACTGATCCTATGTGCACACATAGAAAACAAGACCTATTCCTTCTCGGTGTCGCTCCACTCCCGCTTTATGCAAACTTCGATTGCCGTTCAAAGCAGCCACTTTTCCCTTTCAGTGGTTCTCCCTGCTATACTTGGACTTCTTCCTCTTTCGTTCCTCAGCTGCCTCATGTGAAAGAGAGATCAGATATTTTGTTAGCAAGCAAACAGACATACATGTACATCACCCAACGACTGAACTCAACCTTCTGTAACAGAACAAGCCGAGTGGCAGATTTGCTCTTAAGATTCTATTCACCTTAAAGATACCATAGCATATATCATCATGGGACATGTATGCAAAGAGAACGGCAGAATTTCAGAAAGAGGAAAAGGTGTGGAAATGGAGGTGAGCGGGGGAAAAGGAGGAAGTAGGGGAAAGGGTGTGGAGATGATGCTGTGTGTTTGCAAAGGGGGTTTCACAATAGGCATTAACTTGGGGAGATATGTGGGAAGGGAGAGTTGAGAAAAGGGGAAAATAATGATAATGATAATATATTTATATTTCACATTTTTATCTGACAGGGACTCAAAGCAGCTTACAGTTAAAAATAAGAACAGCTTAAAAGATACGAAGAAACAAAACATTAGTAGAATTGTAGAGACGCGGGTGGCGCTGTGGGTTAAACCACAGAGCCTAGGACTTGCCGATCAGAAGGTCGGTGGTTCGAATCCCCGTGACGGGGTGAGCTCCCATTGCTCAGTCCCTGCTCCTGCCAACCTAGCAGTTTGAAAGTACATCAAAGTGCAAGTAGATAAATAGGTACCACTCCAGGGGGAAGGTAAACGGCGTTTCCGTGTGCTGCTCTGGTTCGCCAGAAGCGGCTTAGTCATGCTGGCCACATGACCCGGAAGCTGTACACCGGCTCCCTCGGCCAGTAAAGCGAGATGAGCGCCGCAACCCCAGAGTCGGTCACGACTGGACCTAACGGTCAGGGGTCCCTTTACCTTTACCTAGAGTTGGAAGGGACCACGTTGGTCTAGTCCAACCCTCTGCAATGCCCAGTGTGGGGCTCAAACCCACAACCCTGAGATTAAGAGACTTTTGCTCTACCAACTGAGCAACCAAATTCAATCTGTATACAGTGGTACCTCGGGTTAAGTACTTAATTCATTCCGGAGGTCCGTTCCTAACCTGAAACTGTTCTTAACCTGAAGCACCACTTTAGCTAATGGGGTCTCCTGCTGCCGCCGTGTCGCCGGAGCACAATTTCTGTTCTCATCCTGAAGCAAAGTTCTTAACCTGAAGCACTATTTCTGGGTTAGCAGAGTCTGTAACCTGAAGCATATGTAACCTGAAGCGTATGTAACCCAAGGTACCACTGTACAGACATTAAATATACATATAATTATGATTAAAAGCAGCCTAGCACCAGCCCCCTCATTAAAAGTAGTCTGTTTCCAAAAGCCTGTTGGGAAAAGAAAGTCTTCACCTGCTGATGGAAGGACAAGGAGTGAGCCGGTCTAACGTCTGGGAGCTGCAATCAGATTGCAAAGGATGTTGCAAATGAATGAATGAGAGGGAGTAGGAAGCGTGGAAATGAGATTGAAAATGAAGGTTGGGGCATGGATTGTAGGGATGGTGGCTTCATAACTGGGTGAAAGGTGAAATTGCAGGTTTAGGAATTGCAATGTGTGGCAGGAGTTTCCCATGGGGTGTTTCGTGTGAAAAAGGATGCAAAGTTTGCTGCAGAACACAAGAAAGATCTGGCTTTGGAAATGGGGCCAGGAAGGTGGAAAACTAGTTAGTGGCTGTTGGGGAAGCTCTAGGATGATTGTGTGGGAGGAATGGCAGCGGGAGCAAGCCAGGATGCAGCCCCATGTCTTCCCATAAGTCTTGCTGTGGTCCATGAGCGTCTCCGGGAATGCTATACTGGAGTTTCTGCGAGTTAGTGTGAAAGTGGTCCCTTCCTGCCTCCAAATTGCTACCTTTAGCTGTAAGTTTGTATGCCCATGGAAGTTTTACAAATCATTCAGGAGACATTCTCTCTTGCACAGCCCTGATGGAGAAGTTATGTTGTTTTACTCGAGAGAAGCCCCATTGATCTCAGCTGATTATAGTTGCTGCCTCTCAACATAGTTAAATGGATGTTGGTAGTATTGTGGTATTCTATGGTTCTTTTTTTCCATAACGTAATTTGCTTTTTGTATACTACTGCTTTAAGTATTATTTTGAAGGTACCTACATTCCAAAGAGAAAATACAGCAAATCCATGATCTCTTCCTGGTGTCCTTTTTTCTTTAAATCTTTGTAAATATAAAAGCCCTTGGTTAGGGATTAGGGTGCATGTATTCTCTGTTTCTCTTTCATGATTCTCTATTCTCTAGGGACGTGGGTGGCGCTGTGGGTAAAACCTCAGCGCCTAGGACTTGCCGATCGCATGGTCGGCGGTTCGAATCCCCGCGGCAGGGTGTGCTCCCGTTGTTCGGTCCCAGCGCCTGCCAACCTAGCAGTTCGAAAGCACCCCCGGGGGCAAGTAGATAAATAGGGACCGCTTACCAGCGGGAAGGTAAACGGCGTTCCGTGTGCTGCGCTGGCTCGCCAGATGCAGCTTGTCACGCTGGCCACATGACCCGGAAGTGTCTGCAGACAGCGCTGGCTCCCGGCCTATAGAGTGAGATGAGCACACAACCCTAGAGTCTGTCAAGACTGGCCCGTACGGGCAGGGGTACCTTTACCTTTTTATTCTCTGTATAGCGCCAAGCACATACATTAATAAGCTTTTTCAAGGGGCAAGCTGAAGAGAACCAAGGTTATATTTAGCCAGTTTGGTCTCTTTGGGCAATAGGGAGTGATAAAGCCAGTTTTATTCTTATTGGAGTGCTTCTTTTTTAATGCAGTCGATTTGGATGTTGTGATTATCCCAGGTTTTCCTGTAAACTTTGAAGAGTGTTAATAAGATTTAGTCACTCTTTTATCTGTATAAACTTGGACTGCTAGGATTTATTATGGATATCCTAGAATGGGGTTTTAGTAGTGTGCTAAAGTGAAAGTGAAGAAGAAGTAATTTTCAAAATCTAAACGTAGAAGCTGTGCTGTGTCTCTAGCAGTTTTTGCTGATGTCTGTCTGTAGGAATTGGAATACATCTGTGCAGAACTCCTGAGGCCCAGTTAACATGTCATCTTCTTTGGTGATCACTCGTAGCCGAGTAAGATTGTCTTCCATAAACACGGTTTTAATAGTGAGTCCGTAAGTGACTGTGGAGGCCAATTCTTGATCCACACGTCCTTCCATAGTGGGGACATAGGTTTCCGGGCTGGATTTGATCACGGTAAGGATTTGCCAAGCGTGCCTTCCTCTTAGCATGTTTCTCCCTTTCATTCTGAGTTTGAGTGTCTTCAAAACCCATGACACCTTTGGTAAAAGCTGTTCTCCAACTGGAGCGCTTGCAGGCCAGTGTTTCCCAATTGTTGGTGTTTATACTACATTTTTTAGATTTGCCTTGAGAGAGTCTTTAAACCTCTTTTGTTGACCACCAGCATTACGCTTTCCATTTTTAAGTTCGGAATAGAGTAGTTGCCTTGGAAGACGATAATCAGGCATCCGCACAACATGACCAGTCCAACGAAGTTGATGTTGAAGGATCATTGCTTCGACACTGGTGATCTTTGCTTCTTCCAGTACACTGGCATTAGTTCGCCCGTCTTCCCAAGTGATGTGTAAAATTTTTCAGAGACACCGTTGATGGAATCTTTCAAGGAGTTAACATATAACACGCTTAACATGTTAACATGTTTAATGTTAACATGCTCAATGTGAACGAGCAAATGTGTGGATTTCTGGAGAGAAGACAGGTTTCTCTGCTGATGCACTTCACAGGACTCTGCCATGGCTTGGTTTAGCATTGCATCTGAACCTGGGCTTGTGGTTTGTATTATATTTTTCTTGTATCCCTTCGCCAGTGATTTGTTGGTTCATTATCCCTAACTTGGTTTTTATTAGTTAATTTGCTCTACAGAGGTGTGAAAGTGCCTGGTTCCGGGGGCGGGAGCGGGGTAAACACTGCTAACAAATGGAAAATGAAGCTTGGCGATTCCTAGGCCATATCAGAAATTGTAAGAAATAGATTCACAGTTTGTATGGGATGCTGTTGTTGTTGTTTCTTTATTAGAATATCATTGGTGAAATACTAGTTCTCATTGGGGATGTACCATTTATAGCTCTAGAGTTGCAATTTCTTCCTAACGTTTCGTAGCAAAATTGTAGTGGACTGTCCATACCATTGATTGCATATCACTGTTTTCGGAGAGTGACTTCACATTGCCCCATCCACACAAGTGATGAAATGTGTTCTGTTTGAGAAAGGTTATGCATTTTTAGTCACACCTCTTCAGTTTCTGATCCTCCAATCAGTAAATGTTGGGATTGTGAGCATATTCATAGGGTTCTGATAGCCCCCTGGTGGGGTGTCCCCATATTGGTATTTAACACCTGGTAATCTGGAATTCTGGTTGTGAGGGAGATTAGATGGCAGGAACTTCTTGAATTGATTGATAAATGGAAAAAAGCAGATGTTCCTCAAACCATGCACCACAAATGCCACAGAAGAAGCAGGAGGAAATTGAGCAAAACAGCTTCCACACAATGAAAATATTGCAGAAGTATCCTGGATCTTTCACAAATGTCATATGTTTTGTGACAGAATTGAAATGGTTTGGTGACTGCCATATCCCAGAATAGTAATGGAATGATAATGACATCATGTGGAAATATGTGGATATAGTAGTTTGTAGTTATAGCACTACAAACAGTACATCTGTAAGACCCTTGATTATAATAATATAATCTCCAAAATCTCCTGTAAAAAAACACATTGTGGCTGAATTCTATTCTCTGGTGTGATTTGGAAAATTATTGCTTCAAATCTGTAGCTCTAGAGCTGATTTGATAGCTTAGGCAAACCATTATTGCCTTGATTCACCCTTTAACCACCACTCATCTGTGATGAAAAACAATAAGGTATCTTCCAGTTGCTTTGGACTGCAACTCCCATCAACTCTAGTCAACATGGCCAAGTGTTGTTGTCCAAACCATGTGGAGACTCTTTTAAAAAAAATGTTCCAAATAAGCAGGCCAGGACAAAATCTAGTCTAGAGTCCTTTCTTTGACTTGCTAATTTTCTAAATTTGTTTTGCTGGAGAGTATTCAAATAGCTCTCTTGCCAACCTAGCAGTTCAAAAGCCCGTCAAAGTGCAAGTAGATAAATAGGTACCGCTCTGGTGGGAAGGTAAACGGCGTTTCCGTGTGCTGCTCTGGTTCGCCAGAAGCGGCTTAGTCATGCTGGCCACATGACCCGGAAGCTGTACGCTGGCTCCCTCAGCCAATAAAGCGAGATGAGCGCCGCAACCCCAGAGTCGGTCACAACTGGACCTAGTGGTCAGGGGTCCCTTTACCTTTACCTATTCAAATAGCTGATCCTCTACTTGCAGTCTCAGGTGGGAAAGTTCAGCAACAAATACTTTTTCAGAAGCCCAACATAAGGCATGTAAAGTGCCTTAGGACAGTTTGATAGAGTCAGAAATTCTGGTGAAGAAGCGCACAGGTGTCTTGTTCTTTGACTTAAGGAAAAGTTGTGTGGTGGTGGGGAGATTCATGGGGATGAGTGCACATGAAGCTTTCACTTTTCCACCACACACGATTCCCTTGAACAAGTACCGTGTAAACCCAAGGCACTCATGCATCTACTTTCCAGCACGGCTTAGAATGTTAGTTAGAGAATGCCTACCCCACACTCTGGACTCAAATGAATTTTAATGTTACTGCTAAATTAATTAGTAGCCACATAGCTGAATGGCTCTGGAATTTCATTGCATTCAACAATTTGGCTCTCTTTGATCAATGATTCTGCACTTGCAATTTGCATTCCAGGCTAGAATTGATGAGGTTTTCTGGGTTTTATTTTTTATTTTTAGTTTATGGGGAAATGGGAGAGGACGTGGGAATGACCTTCCTTCCTGTGCATCTGTCTTTAAGCTGCAGTGAGGTACATCTACAGCTAGATTTTGCATTTATGCACTAGTGCTAAGTTTTATTTAGAAAGTGCACAGGCAGGCTGCAAGACTCTCTGCA